ATAAAAGTAAGGGCAAAGATCAAGTGTTAATAACTTCGTTCCATAAATAAAAAAACCAACCCCGAAAAAATAAAATATCAAATAGTTTGATACTCGCCAAATCGTAACCACGCCTCAGTTAAAGCCTAAAAGACAACATAACGCGAGAATTCTGGTCTTCTAGCGACAGACTCGCCGTTTCCGCCCCTAACACTGTAGATATAAATAATACAATATCATATCATAATATATCCAAGATGTTTAGAAAAAGAAAAAGGAATGACCAAGATCAAGAAGAAGTTGTTTTTAAATTACAATCAGTTATAATTAATTATAGAACTTCTTATTCTAAAGAGTGTTTGAAAAACCTTGAAGGTTGATGATTCGTCTACACAATATAACAAACTGATTAAAGAAATTAATAGTGCAAGACAAGACAAAATGACGCTGTGTGTATTAACTAAGTAATAAGACTATGGGATTAAAACTAGATAATATTTAATTATCACATTTAACACTTTATATAATATTATATAGCCCATTGTGTTGGGGAATAATTGATCTTAGAGCAAACAAGGTTTCTCCATATCCTAAACATCTACAAATCGAGGAATTTTTTTCAAATATTAAGATTCAAGAACTTAAACAAAAATGTATCAAAATTATAAATAAGGAATCTAAATTTAATTCATCAGCTTTAGCCTTGCTAGAAGTACTACAATTAAAGGCCTTTAATCTTAAACAATTTAGTAAAGAAAAGCAGGCTTTAGGAATTAAGGGTATTTGTTCCCTGCTTCATATCAAAACCGACATAGTAGACATATATGATAAAGATACACAATATATTGGAGAGTGTTTGGATATCTTGTAAGTTTTAATAAAAATCTTTATACCTCATTAGTTATAAATGTAGCAAGTAGTTTGATTTGCATTACTATTATTATTATTTTTTCATTGAATATCATGAATATTATTATTACAGTGATGGTTGGGTGTGTATATATAGAGGTACATCTAATATAGAAAAAACAATTGATATGTATCTTATTGGTCTATTTTCGAAAGCACCTGATATAAAATTCATATAGTAAGAATTTATTCTTCTTATTAGTTTATTTATACTAAGATTATTAATTATTTTTTGTTTATAGTGGAGAAAGTTACTCGACAGCTGATAGAGATGAAAAATCTTTTTGTTCTTAATGTGAAAGAATGGAAAAAGCCTGCGATTACATTTTTTGAGTAAGTTACAGTAGTTTTAATGTTTGCAATAAAATGTAATTAAGCTAACATTTAAAGTCTTTAGAAAAATGAGTTTGAAATTGGTATTGGGAAAAACACTAGGCCTATGCAAAAAGATCATTATAAAAAAAGTGTGTCCGATTTTGTGAGCGTTATAAAGGTTGCAAGAGTATAGCACATAAGTTTACAGACAAAATGTATAGAGGAGAGTGGGTTTAATCTCCTCCCATCAAAAATCCAATATGATTTAAAGCTTATCTCAATTTCTTTCTTTCAAGTAATTGGAACAAAAATTTGATTCTATATTTTAATTCAAGTTGATGGTGACTTATACAATATCTGGGAATAGTCTTCTCAGGACTCACCAACAAAAGATGATGATATCGTTGATGCAGTATTGTTGTGCAAGAAATTTTTGATTCATAGAGTATGTGTTTTTTTTTCTTCAATTCTTTTTTATAATTGTTAATTTCTTACTTTAACTTAAGTATCTTTTAGAATCTTCTCAACAAAACCGGCCGACTAGGCAAAACAGTAATTAGAAACTCACAAATTTTTAGAGAAAATTCTGAAAATATACAATTTTCCCAGAATGACAGAATATCTTTTAAACTGAGTTCTATAGTATCTCCAAGGGTAAATAGAGAGAAATGATCATTTATAATACTTAAATATTTTATGATTTTCCCGTGGTATAGAACACTTTTTTTTTACATGACTTTAAGTCATCTATACGATTTTGTTAGATTGATGTATGTTTAATGAAGTTTTATTGGTAACTAATATTTTGTACAAATCTACACCCATATTGGGCCCATTTTTTTTTAAATTATATGCTAGTGAGTCAGGCTTGCTTTTTAAATGTATGCTAGTAAGAAATAAAAATTTTAATATGCAAATACTGGTAATAAAAACATATTTACTAGTTAAAAATATAATTGCTTTCATGGGATGCAAAAAATAGCCATTACTAAAATTTTCTTGTTTCGATTTTATTTATATTTGTTAACTGACTAGAATCGACTAGTTAATAGTTGCAAAATTGAATTGCAAAGAAACTATGCTATGCGATATTATAAATAACAATATAGTTATATACATATATTTATTTATAAAAAAATTTATTTTATGTTAATGCCTAATGCTAATAAAAATTATAAAAATTACAAAAAAAATAAACTATTGCGCACAATGATAAATGTTATTAATAATGTTAGATTGAAAATATTCATAATCCTGACGATATGTAAGCCTGACTAACGGAGTAGCATACTCCAGAGCAGCTCTGGAGTGAGCCTAACCCAAGCTAGAGTAAGTTAAAGACATGTCGGAGTGAACTGAAGCAACTTTAAGCAAATTTAGAGTGAGCCCAATCCAAGTTGAAGTAGGTTGAAGAATAGTTTAACCCAAACCACCCAATCTAACCCATTAAAAACCCTACTAACAGAGGCTTGAAGCACCTAATTCCTAACTGGTACAAATCCTTACAACTTTAAAATCTCATCTAGTATAAAATTCTGATTCCAATAGATCATAATCTCGAGCAAGTGATAATAATTTTGTGTTACAATCATTTCCTCAATATTCATTTTCTAGATACAACTATTTCACCAATAATAACATCCTCAACACTTTTATTTTTCTCGATATTTTCATTTGTCAGGCATTATCATCCTGATATTTTCAAATCTCAATTTTTACTACCTATCCTTGAGTCTTATAAAAGATTTATACCAACTTAAAAGATAATTCAATCGGATCTATAATATAGGTGGGCATTTCGATATTCAAAATTTTGAATAAATATTCATTGATTCTACACTAATATAAGAAATTAGTAAGTACCGTAATTAATGATCGCAGTGCAAATTATGTGTTTATGCTAAGCATTAGGCAAGATATGAACAAATAAAGTAAAATGTATACAATTATCTCGATATATGCATACAATGATTTAAATCTTTTCGATCGCTCATATTTACTAAATATGTTATATTGTTATTTCGAAAGTGCGTACCAGTAAGAATATCTACCTTCTTGATGATATCACTTAAACATTATATAATGGATTAAAGTATGTAATAATTTAAAATATTCTATCCTAATAGATTTGCTCAAAAATAAAAGATCATACAGAGTAAAAGATGGATACTTTGAAAAGAGACACATCGCGTCCAGGAAGTACGCTAAGGAAGAAAAAAAGTATAAGCCAATACAATGTATCTGGAGATCATTTTAATAATCAGAATAAAGATACTACTTGATAGTATCAGAAGTAGGTAAATTAAAAAAAGTTTATTTACTTAAGTTTAATCCTTACTTTGGATATTAAGCAGACCTTGTTATTATATAATGATAAAAATGGTTTACCGACATTTACCCGACAACCATTTCTATAAGTATTATATATGAAGTAGCGGTACAATCAATTAATATTATGATATTTGCTGCCGGCTTGAAGACAGAGCTGAGAGATCATTCATTTTGACTAGCTAGCTCTATCCAAGCCTATCCGATTGTCGTATCTCTATTAGAGTTTCGACCTAAGTTTATATTTACGATACAAGGTTTCGTAAAATGTCTTTAACTTGTTAAATCATTTTTATAAATTTAGTTCGAGTTCTCTTTTCTGACTTTAACCATTACCAGATAAACCAGTGGATAGTCAGTTAGCCAAAGTATCATTCTTACTTTGTTTCCTTATTTACTGTATTTTTTTTTTAATTCTCAATTCTTTAGTAAAGAGAGCTGAAAACATCGATGTTGACTAGATTGAACGCTATCCCTTAAATTGTAACACAGGCAAATTTGCCTGCGAAGATTTTTACTAATTTTTTTAATATTTAAATTTTTTA